CATATTTCTCTGGCCAGAAGGTAGAATTCTGGCTGAGTCGAGGTTGTACCTTATAGTAGCACCTTCCACTTAAATCCTTGTACAGAAGGTTTTTTCCCCCCTCGGCTTGAGTGTGTGAATGGCAAGAACTATGGATGTTGACAGCTAGAAATTAACAGGGTTAATTTTTTTGGTCTTACCTTATGCCTTATGTGTTCTTTCAACATATGGAAGGGTGTGTGGGAGTGGGGTTAACTTGAAACTTCCTATTATAATTTTAATTGCTATAAGCTGTCCTATATGGTGAGTTATTACTTGACCAAGGGGGAACACATGATTGGGTGCATAATAATAAATGACTCCACAACATTCATCTGTGCAAAGAAACTATGGTCAGAATTTACCATGTATGAAAAAGGGAAAAGAAACAATTAACTACCAACATACATCAGTGCACTCATTGGGCTTAATTCCCAGGAAAAGATATACCTCAATATATGCAGCCCAGATGTAGGAAAAAGAGAGGCAGAGCCTGGGGTGGAGTCAAGAGAGGAATCAGTCTGGAGTCCCAAATGGTCCAAATTCAGCTGCTGTTTAATTCTGTTGACTCTTATCTAGCACCAATTTAGTGCTTACCATTACTTGACTGGAATAGGTACTAGCAATAAATCAACTTAACTAGAGCTTAATGTAGTGGTCCTGATTCTTTGCAACTGGCACTGGGTTTAAAAATCAGAACAAAGGTCCAGACAAAAATGCAGAATGTAGATTTGAGCAGCCAACCTTCTTAGTTTTCCTAGCATTAAATACACTTCAAGATATGAAAGGAGGAAAAATGGAGTCATCCCAATACCAGAAATTTTCACTCTCAGCTTCTTCACAAATCTTAGCCTTTCTGCTTAAATCTAATAAATATTTCAGAATGGCTGAAGGGATCTATTTCCGTTGATTTTATTTTCTTTCCCCAGGATGAGATTTATGTATAGTCACTTGCAATATTGGGGCAGCGCAGTGGCTCGGCAGTTAAATGCTGGGCTTGTTGGCTGGAAAGCCAGCAGCTCAGGTTCGAGACCTGAGCTCCACATGATGGGGTGAGCTCCTGTCCTTGCCCCAACTGTTGCCAACCTAGCAATTCAAAAGCATGCAAATGCAAGTAGATAAATAGGTACCACTACAGTGGGAAGATAGCAGTGCTCTGTAACGTCATACTGGCCACATGACCCCTGAAATTTCTTCAGACAGCGCTGATTCAATAGCCTTGAAATGGAGATGAGTACCATCTCCTGTAGTCAGCAATGACTAGCGGAGTAAAATCTAAAGGGACTCCTTATCTTTTACTTAAAATATCATCCTCCTTTAAGAGCCTTGTTAAATCAAGTTACATTTCCAATCAAAGAAAGAAACAGACACAGTTGGCATAGTTCTAAGCCTAAGAAATATTGATACCATCATTAGTATATTGATCATTTTCTTAAAGGAGAAGACTAAATAATTCTGCCTTTATTCCCTTGACCTTTATTTGCAGGCAGGCTGTCTGTAGTTTTCATCCCTTTGAGCTCAGACTATCATATTAGATAGAGCCTAATAGATTAAAAAACCCGTATTGCAGACAATTCGTTGATAGCATTTTCCTGAATGATCTCTATCATTATGGTACACTCAGGCACCACACTGACCTTGACGTTGCTTAGCTAGCCATATATTATCTTCTATTGCATCTTGCATGAGCAAAAATGCTCCCATTTTTCCTTCAGAACTCGTTGCTGGTCATACTAATCCAAGGCTGAGTATTAAAAATACATTACAACATTGTAGTCCAGGCTTTGCAACATGAAAAACAATACCTGCTATATCTTGTGCAAAGTATATGTAAATTATTACTTATTACAGGTTACTCTCACCTGTAGATTAGAGCGGTCAGGGCAGAACAATTGACAGACATTTTCTGTTTATTTACTTTTTACTTAAGTATTTATATCCTGCATGTATAGAACACTTTTCACTTTGAAGAAAAAAAGTGGCTCATATACAGGCTTCCCATTAATTTTATTCCCACAACACATTAGATTATGATCAAATAGAGTTGGTGGATCAAAGTCCTGGCTGAAGTCTGTAGTCAAATGGAACTGGATCTTTCTGGCCCAAGTCTAACCCCTGAGACGGGTGAAATCTACTTACCTTCCTTAACAGTTCGGAAGCGCACGCACCCCATGCACGCGCACACCTGCACATGTGCAAAAGCTTCCGTGCATGGGCAAAGCTGCTGTGCATGCGCAGAAGGTAAAAAAACATTACTTCCTGGTTAAAACCAGGAAGTAATGACACCCAGGTAGCGATGGCTACCGGATCGCCAAACCACAGTGAAAAATCGCTACCAGATCAGGCGATCCTGTCCGATCCGGGAGCATTTCACCCCTGCCCTGAGACCTTTAAACATTCAGGCTTTGGAATAATGACCTTGAATAGCCTGTTTTTATAGATCTGTGAAAGTTGCTTTTAAAAATATAAAGTTAGGTCCTTTAGGTCTTAAAATATGCTTAAGAATACCAGAAAATTTTCTATACATTTGATGATGATGATGTTATCCATTCAGTTGTGTCCGACTCTTGGCGATTCTATGGTCTGCCACATCTTCCGATCTTGCACTACTTCTTTGACTTTTTGTTTGCTGCATCTGGTGTCAGCTTTGATGGTGTCCAGCTATCGTATTCTTTGATGCCCTGGTTTCCTTTTACCACTAACTCTTCCAAACATAATTGCTTTCTTCACCAGAATTCCAGTGCATTGACACAGCTAATGTTTATAATGTTGACTACAATTGCTATGCTATTGGAATTCAGCAGTTAACTCACATCATTTAGCCTTGTTCTCTGTTACCACATTTTGTACAAAAATTCATAGAATTGTTAATATGCTTTAGAATGTACATCAAAGATCCATAGCTTCTTTGTACCTATGTCTTCAGTATTTCAAATTATCAAGGTTTGTGGATGTTTCTATTTGGTCTCTAATGAATAGATCAAGACCTTTTTTGTTCATGGAGATGTCCAAAAGGAATGTTATGTTCCTTGATGGACAGACGAATCTACACTTGGTATGCAGGTATGAATTGCCGATACGCTTAGTTTGTTAACATGTAAGTTAAGTGATTCTTCAACAAAGAAATGAAGAAAATGACTTTTAATTAATTTAGTCAATTTGGGGCGAGGAGTTGTTATATTTATCATACATATTTCCAGCCCTTTCCCTCTTTTTTAACACTTCCCAGTCCAATGGGAAGAATGGGTAAATATGTAAAATATGTAAAAGGGCTTGAGACGAAGTCAGCAAAATAATCCCCCATCCAAAAAAACCCCTCCAAAATGGGTCCAAATTAGGTATGGCAGGTGAAGCTAGCAAAAGATTGAACTTGTAAATGGGTCAGATCCTACCAAACATTGCAGAGAAAACTTTCTTGAAAAAATAACCCGAAGTATTGCTACAGGATTGGCAACCTCTCAACTCCATTCTAAGCCCCCTTAGTTATGTCACCCAGAATATACAGTCAACTCTGGCCTTCCCAGGACACATATACATACCAGTTCACATAAATCCGTGATGACGAACCAATGGCACGCGTGCGACAGGTGGCATGCATAGCCATATCAGTGGGCACACCAGCTCAGCTCTGGTGCGCATGCTGATTTTCGGATGTTCTGGGCCCACCAGAAGTAGGGAAACAGGATGTTTCCTGCTTCCGGAGGGTCTGGGTGGGGGTGGGGAGGGCCCGTTTTTCTTTCTCACCTGGCTCCAGAGCCTCTCTATATATCTGGGGAAGGCGAAAAGAGAGGCTCTGGAGACTGGGGACAGCAGAAAACGTCACTTCCTGTCCAACCAGGAGTTGGGAAATGGGCCGTTTCAGGCCTCCGAGGGGGTGGGGAAGGCTGTTTTCGCCCTCCCCAGATGCATAGAGAGGATCTGGAGCCAGGTGAGAAAGAAAAACGGGCCTACCGGGCCATCGTGTGCCAGGAGCAGGGGAAGGGGGGTTGCGCATGCAGGGCCGGGCGCATAGAATTATGGGTGTGGGCATGCACGCAGGCAAACTTCCCCCACCTCCTCCTGGCACGCGATGGCAAAAAGGTTAGCCATATATTTTAATTGTTTTTAATATTTGTATTTTATGTTTTTTAATTCTGGCTGTACACCGCCCTGAGTCCTCAGGGAGAAGGGCGGTATATAAATTTAAAAATAATAAATAATAATAATAATCACTGACATAAATGAATCAAGGGGAAAGAATAGGAATACCCGTGTAAACAGCACATTCAAACCTGACCTGATTGGATTCTCAGACACCCACACAATGCGTATACATATGCACAGACCCACAGAGGGAACATATATGCAGGGAAGGTATTTTTCCAGATTGCTGAAATGTAGCTGCAATCTTGTGCTTTTATGGAATCTACAGTACAGAATATGCAATAGCCCTGTCTTAGTCGGCAAAAATGAAATGAAGGGTTTCTTGGTGGTTCCAAAGTGGAGTCTGTGTGATGCACTGGCTGGAACGTTGGGCTGAGACTAGCGAGACACTGGTTCAAATCAGGGTGGAAATTCACTTACCTTCCCTACTGGTTCGCAAATGTGTGTGCACTGTAGTCTGCGCGTGCGCAAAGCCTTCTGTGCATGCACAGAGGCTGAAAATCATCGCAAAAAAGGGACGTCACGACGTCCGCACGGGTGGGTGGAGCTTTGTGCACGATCTGTATTGCACGATCCGGATAGAACCGGCTGAATTTCACCACTGGTTCAAATCCCCACTGAAGCATAGGATAAGTCTACACTAGTCATATCTCTCAATCCCACTGACCTCAAAAGTGGATTTGAGGATGAAATAGGAGAGATACAAATATTACAGATATTATTCCTAGGCTTTCTGTAAGGTTTACATAATATAAATGGACTTGTCGCCTACTACGTGGCACAGGGTGCAAAACATATTAGACTGTATAAACTCTGTCTTTTTTTCTCTGCTTTCCTAGCGTATTTATTACCTGTCTCTGGAATTCTACATGGGCCGAACACTTCAGAATACGATGGTGAACCTGGGTCTGCAGAATGCCTGTGATGAAGCTATTTATCAGGTGTGTTCCACCTTTGGTACTCTTCAATTTGTGTACGTAAGGAAGCAGGAGGTGTTTATAATATTTTTATGGACAGTTCATAAATGATGTTAAAATTCAGAAAATCTCAGTTTTTGTATTTTTTAGAAAAGCTTCTTTCCTTCCTAGTTTTTAAGGAAAATATAAAATATAAAAATGTGCTTTCTTTTACACATATAATAATGTGCCATGAGCCTTTAAAATAGCGGGGCATTGATCGGATTGTGAAAAGCAACAAATTGACAAAACAGCCTGGGTGATATCTGAGCATTATGTAGATAGCATTTAATTTTACAATATCAGCTTTGAAGATTAAATCTAGTTAATTATGTAATCCTATTTTTAATGGAAAATAATTTCAATTTTAATAATTTCACAATGAAAGGATGATCTGCATATAAGAGTCAATATAATGGTTCAGCAAATCAGGTTAAAGGGTTTATAACACCAGAGAATCATAGATGCGTTCTTTTGCAAATTAGGTGAATATAATTTCCTAAAAAGCTTTCTTCCTCTGGTTCTAGTGGTAACAGAATAGAAATTAAACTCAGAATCTGTAAGATACAAAATGAAACAAGGAAGGAAATTAGCAAATCATTAGCAATCACATTCCTTTAAATTTGGATATAAAATAAGAGCTACAAATTTCTGCACTGTACACACAGCCCAGCTAACATTGCAGATATCTTACTTATGTTACTGGGATCTCTTCAATATTTGCTGCTAATCTACTGATTCATAAATTGAAGAAAATGGACAGATTTGAGCATAATGCCAAGCTACTTTTGTATTTTAAACTTCCGATCACATTTCACCCCCCCCCAAAACCATCAGATAAACTTTAATTTGTTCGATTTCTTGTTATTCCATCCCTGATCTTGAAGGATTAATCCATAGCCTTTGAGAGTAGAGCATTCTTCCTTACAAACCCTAACTTTTATTTGTTCAAAAGGAACGCCAAGGCATATTTTATACAATAATTGATGAGCCTTATTTCACAATGCAAATACACCATTTCTCTCTCTCTCCTTTTTCTCACTCTCATCACAATACTCTTATCTGTTTGATATTCTGGATGCAAACGATATTAATAAAGAGCCTGATCATTTTTTAGAGCTTTGTAAGGTTTCAGTCTAATCCGCCCACAGCACTTCTTTAAATGTTTATTGCTGAAGACAGTATGACTCATGGATTCCAGGCCTTTTGGCAGAGCTGCTAATGTGATTTAGCCCTGGACAGTTACCTTGCTATCAAATTCACAAAGAGCCAGATTTTCTTTCTGGGCAAGGAGAAGTTGTTTTGTCTGGAAAGAAATCAATTAACATTTCCATGGTGAGAATGTTCACCATGGAAAATGAAAAAATCAAGGTACTATCAGCAACCCAAACGATAGACCTATGAGATCCATGATCAGATTTCCAGACAGTTTAGGTTTTGGTTAAAAGCAATTGAAAGGGAAGAGAGGATGCTCATTCTTGGTCTAAACTCAAGAATTGGGGTGGTGTGAAAATTAGCAGCTTTCCCATGCCTTCCCTAATTTAAATTGGATCTGAATCTGTTAGTGGTGCTAGGAGAAAATTCAGCTATCCATTTCTTCTCCTCTCCTCTCCTCTCCTCTCCTCTCCTCTCCTCTCCTCTCACCATATTAGGTTTCTCACCAGAAATAGTTGTGGATGTTTTCTCTGACTTTCTGCTAGCAATGTAAGCAGGGAGCAATTAAGATCTGGATGAAAAGGAGGGGAAAAATTAACTTCCCTCCTGTTCTAATTAAAAGTCGGACCTTCAGATCGGACTTCTGTATCTCCACTTGCTTTGTCCTCATTTCCACATGAGCAACCATAAGTAATCCATGTATAATTTCAAAGAGTTTGAAAAAGCAAGAGTTGAAAGTTCTGCAGCCACTGATAGGAATGGCATCAACAAAAAGAGCAGAGATTACAGCAGATCCTAAGGGAAATATGAAAGAGGACCTTGGTAGAAATAAAGGAATATTTTATTTTAAACTGCAGTACATTAAACGTGATTAGATCAGGCTGTGGGCATATTGTTTTGTTTTCCAAAATAAGCTTTCTAAGTCTAGCTGCCCCTTAGATGTATTTCATGACAGGCTACCTATATCATAGATCTGAGTTAACATTTCATCTCAAGTAAAATACCCACTGGATGATCTTGGCTCAGTCTCTCAACCTGATTTATCTCTCAGGGTTATTGATAGGGTCAATCCTGATAATACAAATGTGCATTTCCCATATCAACAGATGACTAGATTCAGATGTGATAGGTAAATTCTGTTGGAGTCCATCAGTTGGACAAGGGAGACACTGATGCTTTACTACTTCCCAGCTGGGAGTAACCACCATTCAGTTAGAACACCAAATTTCTACCTAACTAATCAGCCTGTGCAATTTTGAAATCTTACATTTTGAAATATTTTATTTAATTTTGAATTACATTGTGTGTCAGAAGTAAGATATAGCTAATTTTATTATCATTGCTGATGTAAATCATTTTCTTTTTCATTCGCTGATAAAGTAACAATCCAGGATTGACCATATTGATTAAAGTTTGCTCTGACTTATTAAAGGTGATTTGAACGAATTAACTAAATCTGATTAATAAATATTTTAAATAGTTCCAATAAAAACAGTGCTAAGAAACCTATTTAGCTTTGAGGGGTGTATTTTCCCAGGAAATGTGTCAGAGGTTGAGAGACTATGTCCTCTTTTTAAATCTTATCAGAAAAGGGACAAACACTGGAAGTGAGATGATTTTAAGGTATTTCACACAAACAGATATTCATTCTTTCAGTGGCCTTAAATTTTTCAATGTTCATAAAAAGCATAGAAATCCAACCTAAATTATAGAGTGTAGAAATGAACTTTACTCCAAGATCAGAAAGAAGCAGAGTTCTTCCTTTGACAGAAGGCTAGAATGAGAGAAATTGCAAATTCCAAGTAGAAAACTTTAAATTTCATGGTATTTTCTGTCTTTTGCTTACTCCTCCCAATAGCTTGGCCTTGACTTAGAAGAGTTGGAAGAGATTGAGGAAGATGCTGGCCTTGGCAATGGAGGACTGGGGCGTCTAGCAGGTGAGCAGTGACCATTGATGAGAAGATGCCAGTACGTTTCTACGGAGGAAGACCATTTGTATTGCAGTCAGAGGGATAAGAGGATTCAGAGAAAATGAGATGGAGTGTAGCGCTGATAAAATAGGATGCAGAGTTGGAAAGGCTCTCTGTTAACCAATTGCCTTGTTAAGCTTCTTGCTGATGTGAGTGCGAGAAGCTGAATTCTTCTTGTCAGACTTTGTCAGCGTGGCTGCACTTAGATTGTTCTACATGGAGCTGTAACAAGCTTTGATGAAATGCAGACCTGTTTGCAATGTTTTTATAGAATTTATATTATATGAATTAAAGTGTTGAAACTTACTTTTTTTTAACCTAGTAATAATCTTTACATAACAACTCTGAAACCTGATAGTACAGTATATGCCTGAATATATGGGGATTGGGGATGAGAAAAAGTGCCTTTACTAAGGCCATTTTGTGAGTTCATGGAAAAGCTGAAATAAAGACCTTTCATGTCTTTAACTCAATCTCTTAGCCACTATTCCACTCCCGTCCCTCATTTGTAACGGGGGTGAGGTGGGTGGGTTGCAGTCTTACAAACACAAACACACTGAGTTGTATCAGTAAGAGCTGCTTGACTGGGTGTTTATTTCTGTCGGGCAATAACATGTGTTGGTTCTTTTCCATAACAGCTTGCTTTCTGGACTCTATGGCAACTCTGGGGCTTGCAGCCTATGGCTATGGGATCCGTTATGAATTTGGCATTTTTAATCAAAAGATTGTCAATGGCTGGCAGGTGAGAGAAAGATCACCTTTATTTCTATCTGTCTTGTCAGGTACTCCTAGCGATAATCAAGCTTGAGAGAGGACTGTGATGGTAGCTAAAGCTTGTTCAAAGCCTTAGGGAAAAACATCAGGAAGGAATGTCAGTTGTGTAAGTCTACTATCTGAGAATCTTTTAATCATAGATACCCAAAATTGAAGCCAAGTCTTATCTGTAGACAAAGGCTATACAGGTAATCCTTGTTTAACAACCATTAGTTCACTGACAGTTCAAACTTACGATGGTGCTGAACAAATGGTACTTATGACTGATCTTTGTACTTGCAGTGGTCACAGCATCCTGACTGTCACGTCATTATGATCCAGGCACTTAGTAATCAGCTTGCGATTATGTGCTGCCTTTTTCCACAGTCATGCAATTGACTTTTGCAATCTTCGTTACCAGCTTCTAACAAACAACGTCAGTGGGGAAGCTGGCAGGGGCTCACAAATAGTGATCATGTGAGATCATGTTTAATGAGGGCACAGGATTTGCTTAATGACGGCAACTGGAAGTGCCAGAACTGCCATTGCTAAGCAGTGTAGTCACACGATGTCATGTTTTGTGACCACATCACTGAACAACAGAACTTCTGATCCCAATTACCGTTATTAAGAAAGGACTATCTATACTTTATTGCCAAGGAGGGGTCCTACCTCAGAAAAAATGCAGTGCCAAGTGAAGCCAGTGGGGACTTCTCAAGTGGTCCCTCATTGTGGAGCTGTTTTGGATTACTTCTTTTAATTAAAGAGGCTGAGGTTGCATTAATCACATTACCTCTACGGATGGAGTAACTAACTTGTGTGCATCCACTTGTTAGGCTGCAGCTCCTGTAAGTGGCCATGCTGACTAAAAGTCATAACACCATTGAGTTCGGACAGAGCCACTTAGGTAATCAAGTCTAACCTTCAGCAGTGCATGATTATAGATTCAGCTTGAACATATCCAGTGAAGGTTGACCCATTACTCTGGAAAGTGGGTCTTCTATCAAACTAATATAAATTGAAATTAACCTGTAGAGGCAGCTGTATGTTGACTCATCCTTACATAGGTCCACAAAACATATTTCACAACTAGCTCTTGTAAGTAATTAGCATTGCCAGTTATAAGCACTAGATACAGCAGCTGATGGCAGCTTGGTGAACACTAGTATTCTAGGTTAGCTATTGTCCATAAGGGCAAGTTTGAGAAATCTTGTGGAAAAGCCTGATGTGCCCCATATTTAACAGGTTATCCTATGGATTACTAGCATCATAAAATGCTACTGTCATGATGCAGACTTTGAAGCTATGCAGGTGAATTTAGGAACCATAATATAATAAAATTAATGCTGGCAGCATCTTCTAAGTTTTTAGCCTCAAATTTTTAAATTGTCATATTTCGTGCACTGAGAAAAATATATAAAATATTTTCATTATAAGTGGGTTTGTTGGAGATGCTGTTATATGCAGCCATTTTAATGTTTTTTCATATTTATTCCTCACAACGTAACTCATTTCTACCCACTACATTACTACTAACATGTGCAGTTACTAAAATTTCTCCATTCATTTTTTCATTTTTTGTAAACATTCTACCAAGAAACATAAATACATGTTCTTATTTATATTTTGCCATTTATGTACAACTGGCAATTGTTCGTTCCAATTTCCCTGTCAGACATACCTCCTGTAGTCAGATACACTTATTTTCAAATGCATTCTCCTCATCATGTCATAAAATCATCTCTAATGTTTGCTACTATTATTCAGGTTCTCTGTCAACAACATGGCATACAAAGGTACACACACTCATGTCTCCAACTGACCCACCTCTAACAACACCAGAAGCTTTCCTTTATATTGTACATTTATTCCAAGACATCACCTATCCTTGTCTTAATCCATGTGCAGTGTTGAACCATTTGTTAAACATTCTATCCAGTCTCATACATGTTTTATGTCTATCATATGCTACTCTTACTGCACTTAGGAATCAACTTTCAACTCTGTATTTGTGCAAGGAATTCCTACCGTGGTGGTGCAGTGGCTAGAATGCAGTATTGCAGGCTAATTCTGTTGACTGCCAGCGGTTAGATCCTCACCATCTCAAGGTTGACTCAGCCTTCCATCCTTCCGAGGTCGATAAAATGAGGACCCAAATTGTTGGGGACAATATGCTGACTCTGTAAATTGCTTAGAGAGGGCTGTAAAGCACTGTGAAGTGGTACATAAATCTAAGTGCTTTGCTTTTGCTATTATAAGCAATTCAGTTAGGTTTATTATACATTCACAAAATCAACAAATGCATAGTAAACTTTCTTTTTCATAGTCATATATTTCCCAATGCATTGATTATGACAATTAAAACAAAGACATATATATATATTTAAAATTAGAGAAACTGGAAAAATGAAAAAGATCATTATTTGGTACCAGAATGACTGCAGTGCTGTATCAGGTGAACATATTTGGGGAGGGTACCCCCACTTCTATTCAGCTATTGAAAAAGCTCTTGTTCATTAATCACAATTCATTGGCCGAAGAAGACAACTTTTTTTGTAACTCATTTCTCCTTGTTTTAGGTGGAAGAAGCTGATGATTGGCTGCGCTATGGCAATCCTTGGGAAAAAGCCCGCCCTGAATACATGCTTCCTGTACATTTCTATGGTCGAGTAGATCATACTCCTAATGGGATTAAATGGGTTGATACTCAGGTACAGCTTTTAAGGTTACATATGGGAAGCCATTAATTACAAGGACAAAATAGCCAAAAATGGATATATTATATGGCAGTAGTGGTTTGGAGACTTTGGCAATAGCAATGAATATTTGTCTACCTATCCTCCATGTTACAAGGATAATCAACCAGTAGAACTTCCCCAGTTTGCTGGATTACAATTCACATTGAAGGGTTGGGTGAGAACAGCCATTTAGTAAGGTAATGATGAGAGGTAAGAGCAATAAATGCTGCTTGAATAGCTTTGCCAATAAGCAGACACTAGGAATATGTTAATAATGCAGTTTGAATTATTCTAGTTTTTAAGTTGATTTCGTTCGAAATTATTTGGGAACCAGACACAGTCAGCTCTGAGTCAAATTTAATTGTAATTGCATATGAATGCTTCCACAAACATTGTATGAATTGATCCAAATCAGATCAATTTCCATGCAATTGATGCAGAGATTTGATTTTATTTGCTGCCATAATCTGGTACCTTCATGATATGTTGAGAATACTATCACCATAATCCCCAAGGAGTATAGGCAGCACATAAGAACATAAAATTAATAAAGCCGTATCTGGGTCATTAACCTAAAAAAGAAAAAAATGAGTAAAACCCTGTTATGCAAGTAGAAGAACAATGGACTCAGTCCACTACAAACACCTCTGTAAAGGTGTGTGAAAACATGGCAAGGAATGGGAACTGGTTCGAGATTACAAGTCCTTAATTATCCAAATGTTTGGATAATTCTTCAATTCTCAAAAGAACAGATTCTGTTTTATTTTTCTGAATGGCATGTGAGTTCTAAAGGCAGAATATCCTATGGCACTTTAGAAACAAATGGATTTGTTGCAGCATGACCTTTTGCAAACATGAGAAACCTTCAGAGCAATTTAAAACATGGGTTTCTGTGCTTGCAAACCTTATTTGGACCTGTTATGGCTGCAGCCTCTCTATGTTTTCCACATAGATAAATGGGCCACCGTGTTCCACATTTGTTGCTGAGCAGCATATAATTGGTTTAAACAGCAGTGCTCCTTAGAGAGATTGACTAAACAAATGACTAGAGAGACATTCACAACTGAAATTTGGGAGCATTTTTCAGCTGTTTAGGAATACACGATTTTCCATAGGTAGTTGTAATTACTCAGTGTTTCATTTTTCACTTGTTAGGAGATACATGACTAGCCCATAAACTTCCCATGGGTGTTTAGGTTTTTTTTTTAAATGAAGTCATTTATTGCCTGCTGACAGCCTCATGCTATGAAGTAGATCAGAATTGGAAAACACAACTTGCCAAGCTTGTGTCAGTCAGGACTAGATCCCAATTTGAATAGTATTTCACAGTTATTTATTTGTGTATTACAAATAATTTTATGCCACTTGAGTCTAACAAATCTACCGTATGTGGCTTAAGTGCATATGAAGAGCCTGGTTGGATCAAGCCAGCAAACCACCATTCTGTATCACATAGATACCCTTTCATTAAAACATAAACCTGTTTAAATCAAAACAATGTCCTGGAATCATGCCATATTAAAATATAGTTTGTTCTATTCTGGCTTAATGTGCTTTATGAATTTAAATATTTAAGGTTTATTCAATAAACTAATAAAGCAATATATGGAATGCTTATGGCACATTTTGAAAGCCGTACTCTTAAAAGGGGCTGAGGGCACAAATTTATTTTTTTAATTGATCTTATACTAGGTTTTGTTTTTATTCATTTTTTGTTTTTTTATTTTGAATTTCTTTATACTTTATTTTTTATATTTAATGTTATTCCTTTATATTCTAATATTTGTTCTTAAATTGTATTAGTAATTTTAGAAGAAATTATGATGACTACACTAAAAAAAAGAAGCTGCCACTTCAAAACTTTTCTACTGATGCAAAAAGCACTCAACTTTTTTGTTTGCTTTGGAACAAATGAAAGAAGCAGCTTGCTTCTTCCTTCCAACCCAGAAAAAAGACATGTTTTTGTTTTTACAAAAAGTAAAGTAGAAGAGACTGTAAAACACAGTCTTGGTCTCATGGCCCCATTAAAGAAAAAAGAAATTACATTTTTCCCCCCGTTTGGAAGGAACAAAGAACCTGCAGCCTAGTAAGTGAGCATTTCACAGGGAGGCTGGGGAAAAGTAGTGAAAGCAGGTCAGTGAAGTTGTGTGTGTGTGTGTGTGTGTGCATACACGCACATTTTGTTTGTGCTTGCTGGATAGATTGATTGGGTAGAGGGTAGAGAGAGCTGCAAGTGACGGTTGGAGAAGAATGAATAGACTGGAAAGAATCAGGCCTAGTTGGCAGGAAAGGCTGGTTCATGCATGTCAGAAGGAATTTGGAGTAGCCAAGAAAGAGGACATTAACAGGGAGAGCTAGATGGAAAAGCACGGGAAAGAAAACAATTGGACACAATGGAAAGAAGAAAGAGTGGGTGGGTAGGAAAGATGACCCAGACAGAGGGGCAAGAGGGCAGCATTTACGGTAAACAAAGTCTGGTCAAGAAGAGTAGATAGGAAATGCAGTTCTAGATGGACAGAGGAGGACAGAGAATGGGGTGGAGGGATCTGGGGTTTGCGTTCTAGCTTACTCTGAAGCACACAAAGAGTAGCTTTGAATTAGCGTATTGCATGAAACCTAGTGGCGGTTTTGTTCTTTATGTTGTTCTACTAACAAAGACATTCTTCAGGAGATAATGGAGACCGTGAGAGAGGAAAGTTAAGGTTGCTAAATTGCCAAGAGTGGAGAGAATTACATAATTAAGTTCGCTTCCAGCCCCTTCAAAGAACAGTCTTCTCTGAAAGCTTCACTTAATAACATCTGTGACTGAGTGCCAAGTTCCTTTGCAGGTTAAAGAACATCAGATCCTTCTTTGTTCTGTCAAGTGCTTGCCTAGCAAGACCTGCGGAGCCCCAGTACTGAACTTTCTTAAATGCTAAGTTAAAAGAGAGGCGTGAATTATCTTCTTTTCTCCTCTGCTTTTTCTATTGGGAATGCTTTACTTTTGAGGATACAAAGGTCTATTTTGCTGTTTATTATCTATTGTTTTTTTTTTAATTTGTCTCATGTTATTATTTGCAATATATTAAGTTAGGCTGTTTAGAATTTTGAATCACATTTTTTTAAACAAAACGAGCAAGATACACTTGAGTGAACAATTGCTGTGTCCTTTAGTTACAGATTATTATCATTTTTATGATAATTATTATGATTATTATCACTGTGTTAGCCCGTCTTTATTTGATCTCTTCCTCCATATTAGGTTGTTCTTGCCATGCCTTATGATACACCTGTTCCAGGATATAAGAACAATACAGTTAATACCATGAGACTGTGGTCAGCCAAGGCACCCAATGATTTCAACCTTGAAGAGTGTAAGTAAAGTTTGCTATAATAAGTATTGATTTATTTCATTACTGGTAGTTATTTAAATTCAAGTTTGCCCTGTTTGTTCCTTATATTTTGAGCATTAGTCTTTATGGCTGATCCTGCATTCCCACCCCTCTTCTGTCTCCTGTTTTATATCTGAGTTCCCCTTCCTTCTCATCACTACTTACTTCATTGTTCGATTGGTTGTCTTGGGGTTTCTGTTTGGGATTGAGTCCTAAAGTTTGGTTTCCCTACCCTTCGAATTTTAGTTTAAAGCCCGTTATTTTCCAAACATATTCTTCCTAGTTCTTGTGAGATGCAGCCAATCCCCTTCCAGAAGCCTTTCATGTAGGTAATGTAGACCATGATCTAGGAATCCAAATTTCTCTCAATGGCATCATCCCTCAAGCCAGTAGTTTAAAATTCTCCTAAAATTCTCCATTCTCTCATTGGATGTTGGCCTTATGTTGGAAGTACAGAAGAAAATAACCATCTGTGCTCCTACTTCTTTTGTTTTCATGCCTAGCTGTTCATAGTCTCTTTGTTATTTCAGGTTCTTTGTTGTTGTATCATGTCCCCGCATGTAACAGGAGAAAAGGATAATCTGTGGCCTTGATTATGGCTTGATGACTTCCAACTCTGTTATTCTTTGTTATTCTATTCTATGTTAAAGTTTTTCATACATACAGATTACCTGTTTAGAATCTAAGCATGTAGAAAAGAAAGTCTCTGTATACTTTCTAGGTATGTTCCAGGGACATCTAAATATTCCAGAAGACATAACCCTCTTCTCTTCAGTATCTGCTATACAAAAGGAAATGTTAATAGAACATATAGTTGGGGCCAGTTTATCTATTTCTATTCTATAGAAATATAGAAATATTTCTACTCTAGAAATAGAATCAGGGGTGGGTTCTACTTACCTTTACTACTGGTTCGCAACAGGGCCGCGTGCTCGCGCTCGCTTCACTCGTGCCCACGCGCACTCTTCTGCGCATGCGCAGAAGCATTCTGATGACGTTGGGCTCGGTGAGCGGAGCCTCCCTCTGGTTTTACTACCAGTTCTATAGAACCGGTCCGAACCGGGGGCAACCCACCACTGAATAAAATGTATGTATGCATATGCAAATGTATTTCTATCTCAACTGAAGTCATGAAAAAAATCAAAAAGAGAAATCTGGCTCATAAGAGACTCATAATCCTTTGTCCCTTGATAAAAATCTGCTTCCCAACTCTGTTATCCACAAAAGAAGGGAAGCTGATTATTGCCACTAAAAGCAGCTTCTTTTCTACAGCAGGGTGGTTTGGAGATGAAGAATTTAAAAGGGACAGTGAAGGCAGAAGCGTTAAACTCTGGTCACCATGGGCCAAATTTCTGCTCCTAGCTCCTACTAAAGAAACAAAAATTACTAAATTAATAAATCGTGTGCAAAACAACCATTTGGTATCTGGTATTCCTTTCCCCCCGCCCCCTGAGAACACATCATAGTAGATAAACACAATGAATAAAGCTTCATTTAACCTCTGAAACCAAGCCACACTAATTACCTGATGTACTGAAAACCCTGAAGATTTTTTACACACCTCCTTAGAAATGTACAATCCATGATTTTTTCCAAAATAAAAAAGATAGTGAAATATAATTCCAGAGTAAGACTTTTGAGAGCTAAACATACAGTTGAGCAAAGAATCCATGTATTTACTTCACATTTAAAATAAATTTAAATAAATTTCCTGTTGAATTTGAGTTACAAGTTGAAACTTTTGAAAATCTCAGTGAACAAAGGTAAGGAGAAGTTATGAAATGACCGCTGTATAGTGATAAACACATACAGCTCTTGGAGTATTCCATTTTATTGATGTAACTACTCTGAGATATATCTTCATTCTCTTCCATAGTTAATGTTGGTGATTATATCCAAGCTGTGTTGGATAGAAACCTAGCAGAAAACATATCCAGAGTGTTGTACCCCAATGATAATGTAAGTATCTGCTGCATTGTGCAATGTAAGTACAGTTTAAGTGCTTCGTTAAATCTTTTGGCCACAAGTCAATGGTGGATTTCATTTGGCTGCTTTTCTGCTGACTGTCTTAGAAAAACTATTTGTTTCTGTGTTTTGTGTGGGAGTCTCCAGTTTCCACTTCTCCAATGAACTTCTTGCCATCTTCAAAAAGCCACTCCTAGCGAAAGGAGAATACAGAGGCTATAGTAGGAGAATCAAATTTACGAAAATTATGTGAAAGGCACAAGTGTCTGGCTTGCATGCATTTACTCAGTATAATTTTCCTTAGTTCCATCTTGCTGTATTCTCTCCTCCGTTGTTCTTAATAAGAACCAGGACCAGCACAATATACATACCACTTTTGTAGTAACCTTTTCCTCTTCTCGGACAGTATTTTTACATTTACCTGACTAGATCCAGTTCAAGGTCACTGGATATACAATGCAGGGAGAATTAAGTGTCCTTAAAATCCCATTTATTTTCAGAAGACATTAAGAGTGTTTCCATGTTCTTGGAAAATTGGAAAATTTGAGAGATACTGTGGCTCAGTGGCTAAGATGCTGAGCTTGTCGATCGAAAGGTCAGCAGTTCAGCGGTTCAAATCCCTAGTGCTGCATAACGGGATGAGCTCCTGTTACTTGTCCCAGCTTCTGCCAACCTAGCAGTTCAAAAGTTAAAAAATGCAAGTAGAAAAATAGGGACCATCTTTGGTGGGAAGGTAACAGCGTTCCGTGCGTCTTTGGCATTTAGTCATACCGGCCACATGACCAGAGAGACGTCTTCGGACAGCGCTGGCTCTTCGGCTTTGAAACGGAGATGAGCACCGCCCCCTAGAGTCGGGAACGACTAGCACATATGTGTGAGGGGAATCTTTACCTTTATCTTTACCATGTTCTTGAGATCAGTGCTGATCCACAAATGTGAATGTGAATGTTTGTCCTCTGTAAAAACTTATTAAAAGAAGACTGCCTTTTCTTTAAAATATGGACCTGAGATAGGGAAACCACTGAGGATTAAACCTGATTGGCAAAGTCCATCTCATCTCTTTCTTTCACCCTGGAAAGGAGCTTGATTTTTACGATCCCTCAGATCATTGCCATTTTTAGCCTGCCTACTTTTGGTATCTTCATTGTGCTGCTTTTGGTATAGACTAATATAACCCCCTTTTCCCCACTGTGTTCCTAAGTTTTTTGAAGGAAAGGAATTGCGTCTGAAACAGGAGTACTTTGTGGTAGCTGCCACTCTCCAGGACATCATAAGACGATTCAAGTCTTCCAAATTTGGATGCCGTGACCCAGTGAGGACCTGTTTTGAAACCTTCCCCGACAAGGTGAATATTTTACATGAGGGCTTGTACAAATCTTGAAATAAATAAAACCTGAGACTTCTCAGGAAACAACAACTGAATGAAAAATTGCTAGTGACCTTCTATGCTGCACTATAGAGAGTATCTTAACTAATTGCACCTGTGTATGTTTACTAACTGCACAGTGGCAGATAGGACAGCACTCCGGAGGGTTAACATCATTGCCCAGAGGATCATTGGTCGCCCTCTCCCCTCCTTGGAAGAGCTTTATAGCTCCCGCTGGCTTAAGAAAGTTCAAAATGTTCTTAAAGATCCATCTCATCCTGGGCACCCTTTTTTTTGAACTATTGCCATCTGGCAGATGGTACAGAACAATAAAAACAAGGACAAATAGGCTGAAAAACAGCTTCTATCCCAGAGCAGTAACTATGTTGAATTGTTGTATAGTGCAATATTAATCAGCATCAGGAGTTTTCAATTGTGTAGAATGTGAAGGATGTGTGTGTTTTTGTTTTATTTTATTATAGTTTTCTTATGTATGATGTACACTGAAGATGGCATTTAATTTTGTACGAGGTGCAATGACAATAAAGTAAACTACACTTACACATTTTAATTTTAAAGAATACCTTTATCTGTCTCTCAGACAATGTTTGGTAGTCTTTTGATGTTAAGAAAAGTAAAACCAGAATGTTGCTTAACACTAGAATCTCCTGAAGTCCTGTTGGACTGATCTTTACAGTACTATTAGTGGTGTGCATAGAATTATGCCATTATTTTTATTTCCGTTGTTATTTAATACCATGATGTTTACATGGTTTAGTGACAACAAATTATTAATAAATTCTATATTAGCAAACACTTCCAGAATTTTTTATGGATTTAATCAGATTTTATAAATTTTACCAATCATCTTTGTCTTGGACCTTGTAAATTGGATATAATGAATAATGAAGGACTTTGTGAAACTGTCTGCAATGCAGTATCAAATTCACAAAACACAAATTCAGCAATAAGCACCAGTAATGAAAATTGGATAACATATTTTACCTATTTTAATTTTCATCTTCCTCCAAATTGCATAATTGGATGAGGATTTGGTTTTTCTTTTCAAAAGAAAATTGTGTGTGCCATTTTTATTATGTTATTATTTTTTCCTGCTGTGACAACTTGGAAGGAATAGTTAAGATCTTTAGAAAAGTGAACTGATACGGTTGCACAAGAGTAGGAAAAAAGGGACAGGCTAGGAGTCTGGCAGATTATATGCTTGGAATGAATGAACAATTGAAAAAAACTTTCTAAGTAGCAGCCCTAAATACTTCTTTAGCATATTTTCTCTTTCTTTACTTTTAATAGGGATTAAAAGTTTATTTTTAAAAGCTTGATTAAATATCAAATCCAAGACATGGCCACTGGCCAGATTATGTATGACTAAACCCTGTAGTTCCCCCAGATTCCTTAATATTTTTTTTCTTTTTATATCTAGGAATTGAAATTTAGAGTAGCTGGTCTGGGGCCACCAAGTAGCCATCAGCATAAAATGAAATCAGATTTTCCATTATGCTCCATGAACTCCCTGGACTTTTTCTGGATGGAAATAATGGAGATTTTCATATTAAGGTTTATGTTGTCCATTTTACAGGTTGCCATTCAGCTAAATGACACTCACCCGGCTCTCTCCATTCCTGAGCTCATGAGAATCTTTGTTGATGTTGAACAGATGGATTGGGATAAGGTAAGAGTTGAGTGGAGGCATGAAAGACACAGCTTGTGATCCCCAACAAGTTTTTTCAGAAACTGCCAAGAGATTCTCCTTCTTCAACTTGATTTATCCCAGATATCATGGGATTGCATTTTCCAGAATTTCTAGCCAGGATGGTGAGAAGCTAGATTCTTAAAGTTACTGATGACAGAATAGTTTTTGGTCTCATTTGAGAGGGTGATGAGTCTGCCTGTAGATGGGACATTGAACAATTGGCCTTGTGATGCAGCCGGAACAATCTGGAGCTGAACGTGCTTAAAACTGTAGAGATGAGAGTGGATTTTAAGAGGAGTTTTCCTATACTACCACCTCTTACTATACTAGACAACACAGTATTAACACTAGAGACCTTCAAGTTTGTGGGTTCTGTAATCTTCCAGAATTTGAAATGGACACCTAACATTAGAACCATCATTTAAAAGGCACAACAAAGAATGTTTTTCTTGTGTCAACTCAGAAAATTCAGACTGCCCCAGGAGCTGTTAATACAGTTCTACAGAGGAATTATTGAGTCTGTCATTTGTATTTCTACAACTGTCTGCTTTGGTGCAGCAACCAAACAGAACAGGCACAGACTTCAGGGGATAGTTAGGAATGCAGAAAAAATAATTGCAACCAACCTGCCTTCCATCGAGGACCTGAATATTGCTTGAGTGAGTGAGAGAGAGAGTGAGAGAGAGGGGGGACTGAGAAACTATCTACAGACCTCTCACATTCTGGACATAAACTGTTTCAGCTCCTTCCCTTGGATACCTCTACAGGGCATTGCATGCTAAAACAACTAGACACAGAGACAGGTTGTGATTCTGTATGTGATGACTGAGGTACTCCTATAATACTACAAGTTCTTTACTTAGTTCTAGTACCATCATCAATTGAATCAATTTCAGTTTCATTAATGTGTGCTTTTTTCATTAATAATGAGGCTGCAACTGATAAATTACAACTCAGCATCAGTGTAATCTCCATGGCAAGTATCAGAAATTAATGCTAGTTGAAATTATGGCCATTTATTTTCAGCCTATAGAATTTGTTTCTATTCACACTAATTCATTTGTCTCCTCGGTTCTAGGCCTGGGAAATTACAAAACGAACCTGTGCATACACCAATCATACAGTGCTGCCTGAGGCCCTGGAGCGCTGGCCAGTGTCTATGTTTGAGAAGCTCCTGCCAAGGCACCTGGAGATCATTTATGCTATCAACCAAAAGCATTTGGATGTAAGTCATCTAAATGAGAAAAAAAAAGGACTTGGGAGAGGCAGAGAGAGGATACCAGAGGTTGGCAATTATACAGCCTCATGATCTCACCCAGTGGCCCAGAGAAAGGAAGGGACGGCTCAAGATACTAAGGCTCAAGAGCCTTAGTGCTCTCATAAGATTTCACTAACCTCATGTGAAGTCATGAAAATCCTCAGAGTTTTGATGATCTTGTAAGAATTTGGCCATTTTAAAAGTATTTATTTTTTTCATTTTGTGTGTTTTTGAACATTATTTTGCAGGTAGATGCTTAATGTATGTAACCCTGCGTTACTAGCATCAGATGAATCTCACTGAGATATCTAATGGCAAACCAGAATGGTTGAATGATGACATACAACATTCTCTGGCCTCCTTGCTGCATAGCAAAGAGCCAGTATTTAGCTCTAGCAAGTGGATAGAATAATAGCATGGGTAGAATCAATCATATTGATTGGGCTTCAGATTCTTGTGGTCTTGCAACAATCAGTAAAACAACATCAGTCATCCATCTGCTACCTTCATATTTCTTGTGTTATAGTGTCCACAATACACTGCTGCTGACAGTACCAAACTTCTAGAAAGCAGCAGTCTGCTAAAACTGTCAGGCTTAAAAGATGATGAGTTGACCATGTAAATACATTTAAGGATATCTTTGTTAGTATGGCCTAACATATCTCTTTCAGTGTCATTGATATCATCCTTAAATAGATCTTGATGTCTCTTGTTAGAAGGTACAGTATTCAAATTCTACATTTCTAACAGTTCAGGAGTGCAAAATGATGGGTGTCAAAACTCTGATGGAGCTGGCTTCTCTAGGGGATAGTGATATTCTTTTTTTAAAAAATGGAGGGGGGCATTTGGGAAGAGCAATAAAATAGTTTCACCTCTCCTGAACTTTGGAGGATTTGTTCACGTTTTTCAGTTTAAAAGAATTCATCGTGAGGTATGATTTACTTTGTTGTCCTAACATTCCCATCATTTTGTACATTCTGTCAGTATGTGACTTCCCTCTTTCCTGGAGATGTTGACCGCCTCCGAAGGATGTCTGTGATTGAGGAAGGAGACTGCAAAAGGATCAATATGGCCCACCTGTCTGTCATTGGTTCTCATGCAGTCAATGGTGTGGCTCAGATTCACTCGGAGATTGTGAAGAATTCTGTGTGAGTCCTGCTTGTTTCTCTTTTACTTAGTTATAAGTAAGCTATCTATCCTGCTGTTCTTCATAGAATGCCACTGATCTAAGAAGCAGTCATTGCCTTTTCTTCTCATACATATCTGCTGTCTTCCAAATCTGATTTATTTTTTATTAAAATAAATGATTTTATTCATTTTGCACATAGCCTGGAAAATAGAAGTGCTTAGTAGTGAGAGGAAAAATTATAGACGTTGAATTTTAATAAATAATGAATGAATGAATGAATGAATTGATTCCTCAATTTGCATTATGGGTACAAATTTACATAATAGAAGACTCCCCACACATAGAAACCTAACAAGTCTAGAAACGGGATTTAATATAGTCCTTCTCTGTTATTCGTAAGTATATGCAGCTTGAATTATATTAATCCAGACAACGTTCCCCATTTTTAGAGGCATAGGATTTTAAAAGAATGTTAAAGTACATCTCATCCTTCCTTTTGCTGGGTATATCGAACTTGTCTGCTTCATCCAATGGTTATCATGTCTCACTTTAAACTTCTCATTTTCATCACCTGCAAGCTTTCCGCTTATAAACTATTTCCCAAATATTTCTTCATCTTGATACATTTCCTAGGCATAATCCACTTTCAGGGACAGATAATTATTAATTGTACTAGATTATAATCTAGTAACTTCCAGATGGCTTGCATTTCAATTTTTTTTTTTATCAATCAATACTCTGTTGCAAAGTACTTTTGGAACTGCAGTCCTGAATATCTGAAGATATTAAATTGCTTTCACTTTGTCAGTGTTCTTCAAACAGAACAGAAGTACTTTGGTATATGTGGAAGAGAGCAGAGTTAGCACTGCTCAAAATCTTGATTGTGCTTTTTATAAATGTATCCTATGACTGCATTTTCTTTTTAACAGTTGCATTGAGCTGCTAAAGAGTTAATGGTGTCAACTGGCACCAAATAATGTATATTACGTTCTGTTCCTTTTAAAACTATCTCACTCATATACATTGTAGATTCAAAGATTTCTACGAGATAGAGCCAGAAAAATTTCAAAACAAAACCAATGGTATCACTCCCAGGCGATGGCTTCTGCTGTGTAACCCAGGACTCTCTGAAGTCATTGTGGAGGTAAGATACAAGACGTATCAGCCAATAGGAAATGCTTGTAGAAATACTTGGTTAGGTTTGAGCTACAATCTGATGAAGCGCCAGATGACTGGAAGGAAGCAAATGTTATCCCTGCCTTCAAAAAGAGGGGGGGGGTTGGAGAAGAGACAGCATACTACAGTCTATCTGGTCTGATACTTAGGATGATTCCAGAGCACAGCATAACAATATGGTGACTGACAAAAGTACGATTTTGAATCTGTAAACAAATGTAGATAAATAGTAAGTCTGCATTCAGATTAGCAGAAAGTCATGTTCAACTTTGTATCAGGTAGACCATATGTCAACTTCTCCTTACTTAAGATTTCCTTTGAAATGTAAAATTTAAGCAGAGTGCCTAACCTCTAAGTCTATGTTGGCTGATCATGAAAGTAACTATAATTAATATTATTATTATGAGCATTTATCCACCTTAATGTTTATAAAAACAAGTCAGTTGGTTAGCATTATTACTCCAAATATTGGCAAATGCTTTCTCCCAAATACTGCATCTGCCAGTGGATTCTCTCTTGGTTGAACCACATCAGATGGATATTTATTTGACACCAAATGGGAAGACATTTTATACCAAAGGAGAGGATAGAGATGCTGCTTTTTTATTTTTCTCTCTCTCTGCTTTTCCGTTTTTGCAGAATCATCTTGTATTATATCCAGTATCCAATTCAGTGGTTAGTCCTAAATTAGCCTATTCATTGTCAACAAAACCTATAAGAGTGAACCAGATTTCATCTCGGTATCAAAACATTGCCACTTATGTGACTGTTAACAATGGGAAATGTTCATAGTAATAGAAGCATTCAGCTGTGAAAAATATATCATTTCTGTTAATTATAATTTTTATTCTCTTAATATACAGAGAATTGGGGAAGATTTCCTAACTGATCTTAGCCAACTAAAGAAGCTGCTGGATTTTGTCAATGATGAAGCCTTTATTAGGGATGTAGCTAAAGTTAAACAGGTAATAATTGCAACAGACACGTTTCTCTATCTATTATCTCCATATCTGTCTCTGTCTGTCTGTCTTTCTGCCTGTCTGCCTGCCTGCTATCTGTCTGTCTATCATCTATCTTTCTACACTGATGATGTTACCTAGTTAGGATAATGAAACATCTGCAAGAAAACAAGCAAGCTCAGAGAGTACCAAACGACCCCTCATATCTATCATCCCTATCTATCTATCTATCTATCTATCTATCTATCTATCTATCTATCTATCTATCTACCTACCTACCTACCTACCTACCTACCTACCTACCTACCTACCTACCTACCTATCATCCCTATCTATCTATCTATCTATCTATCTATCTATCTATCTATCTATCTATCCTATCTATCTATCTATCTATCATCCTCACAACCATTTTTTTAACTATTGTTAGAAGATTTATTCATTTAGTAAACAAATTTATATAATCTCTCAACCAGGGGTGAAATGTAAAATTTGTTACTACCGGTTCTGTGGGTGTGGCTTGGTGAGGGCGGGTAATGTGACTGGGTGGGCGTGGCCAACTTTTTTTTTTTTTTAACTTTTCAAAGCATTTTTTTCTAATGCTTTGAAAAACCTCTGCTGATGAGGCAACTCAGCAGGGATCGTCAGAGAGGCTTTTTAAAAAATACCTCTCTGCTGATCAGGCAACTCAGCTGGGATTGTCAGAGACTTTTCCAAGCATTTTTTTTACCACCTCTTCAGCCAAGAGGTTGCAGAAAAAAAATGCGTTGAAAAGCCTCTGATGATCCCAGCTGAGCCGTGTGATCATCAGAGGCTTTTTTTTTAACTGTTAAAAGCATTTTTTCGTCAGAAGAGGTTGTAGAAAAAATGCTTGTAAAAGTAAAAAAAAAAAAAAAGCCTCTGATGATCCTGCGGCTAAGCTGGGCATGGTGGGTGAGGGGGGCGCAAGGATTTTTGCTACCGGTTCTCCAAACCACCCACCGCCATCGCTACCGGATCGGGCGATCCAGTCCGAACTGGGAGCATTTCACCCCTGCTCTCAACTCACAGTGAAGTTATAATGGCCTCACAAAAAGTTATTTATGACCCATAGTCACAGTTTCAATCATCATACTACCCTGCAGTCATGTTATTGGTGATTGTAATTTGGACACTTAGCACTTGACTCACATTTACAACCAGTTGCAGAATTCAGCAGTCACATGATTGTGATTTGCAACCATTTTTGCTAATTGCTGACAAAAAAATACCATTAGGGATTCGTTTAATGACCATAACAGCTATGGTTATTTGCTTAACAGCTGCCATAAAAATGGTCATAAAATCATGTCCAACTCAGTTTACGACTTCAACAATTTAGGAAGGAAATTCCAAACCCAATTGTGGTCATAAATCAAGGACCACCTGTATTTACCTCTAGCTAGCTAACTTCATTTGTTTATTATATTCATTTGCATGCTGCCTCCTAACAAAGCTAAATTTATATTATATAGTAGATAGTATCTTTTTTAAAAATTCCATTTAGGTCAGGCACTTGAGTTGAATGTCTGTTTAAATTTTCCCGAGATCAACCTAAAATGTCTTTTTGACAGGAGAATAAACTGAAGTTCTCAGCGTACTTGGAAGAACAGTACAAAGTGAAAATTAACGCATCCTCTATGTTTGATGTGCATGTCAAGAGAATTCATGAATACAAGAGGCAGCTCCTCAATTGCCTACATATAATCACTCTCTATAATCGTGAGTTTTTTGCCAGCATCAAAGCTTTTAAATCCTTCTAGATAACATTAACAATAATATTGGAAAAAAATATGTCTATATGAAAGGATTTGGGAAGCAAGGAGAAAGTAATCTGAAAAGATAGTGGATGTGTGTGTCTGTGTGTGCACGCACACGCATGCGGATATAGGTAGAAGCAACCATATCCTTTTACATCATTTTATTGCTTTTTTTCTGTCAGTGATATTCTTACCTTGAAATAGGAGTTACAGATGTCACAGAAAGTAACTTTGTGGAATTATTTTTTATTAATTTTTTTTCTTTTTTAAAAGATCATCCATTTTAAAAATCATTCTCCTCCGTCTTAATTTTATTGCTTTTTTTTTTTCAGGCATCAGAAAAGACCCTAAAAAATCCTATGTGCCAAGAACAGTTATGATTGGAGGAAAGGTAAAGAATTTCAATGTGAAGCTATGTTTACTTCTTAGTATTTAAGACTACACATATATTTCTTCCTTCCACCTATCACTGCCTGCCTACACACTTCACATTTATGTTAAAATTTGACTTATTTAAGCATGCAAAAGTAAGAACTACTCATGCCCAACATTTTTAGTCTCTTTGTTTCGTTGTGTGATTCAAACATCCTTTTTACTTGGAAACTCAGCATATTGAAATAGGAACTCAGGGAGGTTGACAATTCCTATTGTGGTATTGATTTATTTAAGTTATCTATGAGTTGCAAACCTCAGCAAAGATTAAGAACAAAAAGGCAGATATATATAGTAGGGAGCCTCTACTGGAATAGATCAAAGCTTCCTTTGATTTTATATATAGAAGTGTTTACATATATCAATTTGTGCTTTGGGAATTAGGTATTTCATCTGACAAATTCAGAAGATGGCTTCCTACTTCTTCTTCTTCATCATCATCATATAATAATAACAGACTTGGAGGAGACCTTGGAGGTCTTCTACTCCAACCTCCTGCTCAAGCAGGAGACCCTATACCAGGGGTGTCAAACTCAAGGCTTGTGGGCCAGATTCGGCCCACAGGGTGCTTAGATCTGGCCTGCAAGGCCAGCCTGGAAATAGCAAAGGACCAGCCCGTGATGCCTCTGCTAGCAAAAATGGGAGGGGGGGGGCTTTTGGCCACCAGAGTGCTGCAGGAGGCTGTCCTTAATTCAGAAGGCTATAAAAGGGAGGAAAGGTAAAATAGTTTACCTTTCAGGCTTGCAGGATTCTGCTACTATAGCCTATGTCAATAATTTATAGTTCTACTCTTCCTATGGAGTCAGTTTCTTGATCTGGTCTCCCTCTCATAAGGTGATCAAGCAGATCAAGTAAGTATTAAAAAAACAAAATCACAGTAATGTACGCCTCTCTATTTTTATAAGTGTATAAAACCATGTGTGTGGAGGTGCGGTCCCATGTCACGCCCACCATGCCCCCCCCCCCCCACACACACATACACCTCCCGGCTCTCTGAGGTCAAACATAACCCTGATGCGGCCCTCAATGAAATTGAGTTTGGCACCCCTGCCCTATACCATTCCAGACAAGTGACTGTCCAGTCTCTTCTTAAAAGCCACCAGTGATGGAGGCTTTTAAATAAATTATTGAGTAGTGGTTTCTTATTAAGAAATCCAGATGCTATATTTTGGTATTCATTTGCCTTGTGACTTTCATCAGTCCTTTTTTTTTTTTTTTAAACTCTTAAGATGTTTTTCCTTTTCATCCTCTAGGCAGCTCCAGGCTACCACATGGCAAAAAAGATTATCAGATTGATCACGGCCATTGGAGAAATTATCAATAATGATCCCTACATAGGAGATAGACTCAAAGTCATATTCTTGGAAAACTACAGAGTGTCTTTTGCTGAAAAAGGTAAGTCAGTTTTGGAAGCAGGTTGGCCTAGGACCGTGATGGCGAATCTATGCACGCGTAGCCATATCAGTGGGCACGTTAGCTCAACTCTGGCACCATGCGCGCTCCAGCCAGCTGATTTTCGGGCCTTCTGGGCCCACCAGAAGTAGGGAAACAGGCTGTTTCCTGCCTCCAGAGGGGCTTGGGGGGTGGGGAAGGCCCGTTTTTCTTTCTTACCTGGCTCCAGATCCTCTCTATGCATCTATGGAGGGCAAAAACAGCCTTTCCCACTCCCTCGGGGGCCCTCGGGAGGCCTGAAAGGGCCCATTTCCCAACTCCCGGTGGGACAGGAAGTGAGAGAGTCTCTGGAGGCTGGGGACAGCAAAAAACGTCACTTCCTGTCCCACCGGGAGTTGGGAATTGGGCCGTTTCAGGCCTCCAGAGAGCCTCCGAGGGAGTGGGAAAGGCTGTTTTCGCCCTCCACAGATGCATAGAAAAGATCTGGAGCCAGGTAAGAAAGAAAAATGGGCCTACCGGGCCAGAAGCAGGAGGGAGGGGGGCTGCGCGCGCAGGGCAAGGCACATAGAATTATGGGTGTGGGCATGCGCACACGCGAACCGCCCCCGCCCCCCCTCTCCTGGCACGTGATGGCAAAAAGGTTAGCCATCACTGGCCTAGGACCTAGGTAGTGCACAACTTGTGCCTTTCCAGATTCTGTTGATCTCTCTTTTCTTGCATACCTTGTTTTTGTCTATGCTTACTGAGCTTGTTGGAAGTTGCAGCTAAAGAGTTGCATACTGTGATCCATGGCTGACTGGCTCTTGTGCAAGAAAATATACCCCTTCCAAATGCAGAGGTATAAGTGCACTCCTGTATGCCATACAGCTGCATCAATGAAGCAAACACATAGGATGTTGAACATCTTGGTCTACTCAGAACAGTAAAATTAGACCACACAAAGCTTGCTTATAAGTGCAGGAACAAATGGTTTGTTTACAGAGGAAAAGAATATAGTCTTTCCTGTTTCTCTTTTCCCAATCCATCCCAGTGATTCCTGCTGCAGATCTATCTGAGCAGATATCTACGGCTGGGACTGAAGCTTCAGGGACAGGAAACATGAAATTCATGTTGAATGGAGCCCTCACTATTGGGACCATGGATGGGGCCAACGTGGAAATGGCTGAAGAAGCTGGAGAGGATAATCTATTCATTTTTGGCATGCGAGTGGATGACGTAGAAGCAATGGATAAGAAAGGGTTTGTAAATAAACATTTCACCATGAACAGGCCATAGAAACAGCCTATGGGCATGTGATTGATTCTTTGGACGAGGAAGAAACTTCTCCTGAGCTTCCTCAGGATGGTGCTTCACCTTAGAGCAAGGGTGTCAAACTCGATCCCATCTCGGGCTGTATCAGGATTTTGTTTGCCCTTGGGGGACCGGGGTGGGTGTGGCCTGGTTGTTGCGGCCGACTGGGTGGGTGGGGCAGCACGAGCTGGTCCCTTGCCATCTGTGGGACAGACCCGTGGGACAACTCTGGGCCTATCGCAGGCTAGATTTGGTGTGCGGGCCGCGTGTTTGATACCCTTGCCTTAGAGTAATTAGCCAGAATTCAGTTTCTATTTTGACAAGGAGACTTCTCTATCTCGTGTTTAGCAAGCAGAGCAGTCAGGATAGACCTGAGCTTCTTAAGAGGCCATTTGTCTTCTCTGAATTCTCTCCTATGTTAATTAGAGTTACTTATTGTCAATATCTCTGATTATGAGGAAAGCTTATTAGAAAATTCAGTCATTGAAAACTGCTGCAGGAAATGGAGTAGCCTTGTCAAAGGAAGATTGGGTTATACATTGTGACAAAACTCTTGTTATCCATTTATATTAATATAAGAACAACTTACTACAGCATGGAACAGAGCTTACGTACTCATTTTATCAAAAATAGGAACATTTTTGAAATAACTTGCACTTTCCACAAATTACTCTTCATAAATTTTATAAGATCCAATACTTATCATACCTTTATTAAGAATTAATATGCACCAATAGCCTTTTAATTTGACATCTTAAGTCTGCCTTCTGTATTATTTCCAACTCACCTATAATTTAGGCTGCCTGGGTGAGTATTGTCCTACAGCCAGTATGTATGATGTAGTGGCTAAAGTGTTGAATTAATGTCCCCCTTGATGATGGAGCAGTCTCTACTTAACTACATGGCACTGACTTTCAGCCAGTCTTAACTCCCTGTGGAAACCCTTGGGTATGTCACCTTGTATTCCAAGAGAAAAGGTGGGATGTAAATGCAAGAAATAAATAATAATAGAAGCAGAAAAGGTTAAGGGTGTCCCTATTTTTCTTGTTCAGGTACACTGCTAAGGAATACTACGACAGGATTCCAGAGCTCAAGCAAGTTATTGATCAAATAAACAGTGGCTTTTTCTCACCAAATGATCCTAGTTGTTTCCACGATATTGTCAACATGTTGATGTATCATGACAGGTAAGAGGCAGCAATGGTGTGCCTTTCTATGGACTTTCTTTTAATGTTCTCAGCATGGCTTCAAATGTAACTTCCAACATCTCCAGCCATATTTGCTGAAAGGTACAAGAACTGCAGTTCCTCATCTGAGGCATACCATATTGGGGAAGACTACTATATATTATAAACCCAGGATGGGGCATGACACACTCTTTATTGATAACATACAGATCCTGGCTTATTCCCTTTTGCTGTGAATTGGGCTCAGAAGCAAGCCTGCAGCCAATGCAGAAACTTCAAGATAGGTGTAATTCTACTGTCAAAGAGTTAGCCTGTCAAGAGCCTTGCTGCCACATTTTGAATCAGCTGTAGCTTTCAAGTCACTTCCAAAGAGAAAATGCAGTGAAATTAGTCAACTAATGAAATAAGAAGGTTATCTTAAGCAATCCTGACTTAAGTCTTCCTCAGAGAGGGAACTACCGCAGAAAAAGTCCTTTGAAATTATGTTACATAGGAGAGAGCCTCACTTAAACTACTCAAAGGGAAAAGAAAAGCACATCCAAACTTGCCTTATTTAAAGCACGGCTACAACATTATATTTATTTACCCAATGATTCTTTATGACTCTGAGTTAACATAATAAATGGAATTCATGGTTGCATTTACTTTGTTTAGGTTTAAAGTATTTGCTGATTATGAAGCCTACATCAAATGTCAAGGGCAAGTGGACCAACTATACATGGTAAGATAGAGACTTTCCTCATAGTTTGAACTAATTGCAAATTGACAAGAAAGGTTTCTTCATAAAATAACTGGAAATTGCTTAACGCATTGTAAGCCGCCCTGAGTCTCCAGAGAAGGGCGGCATATAAATCAAACCAATATATATACATATATGTATATGTGTATGTATATGTATGTATGTATGTATGTATGTGAGTGAGCCCAATGCTGAAAAAGGGCAGTCAGAATGTACATATGTATTATACATACATTAGCATAACCGCCTTATCTTATTCCAGTACTTAGGGAAACTGCCAGCTCTTTCCGGTCTTCCAAAAAATTAAAGGGGGCTGCCAGTCCAGAGTGGAAAGGTGTCCCACAGGGCAGGGGCCTTGCAGAAGGGGCATATTTCTTGTTCCCATTAGTGGCAACATTAATGGGAAGGGACTTGGAGCTCAGTCTGAAATGAAACCCTTGGGGAGAAATTATCCACAAATAACCTGGCCCTCTGCTGTGTAACCAGCATTTTGAATTGCACCTGAAAGAAACTGGGAGCCAGTATATCTCACAGGATAGTGGTATAATGTAGACAATTGAGACATACCCATACCCATACCCCTTGTCCCTTCTGCTACATTATGGGCCATTTGTAATTTCCAAGTACTCTTCAGGGCATCCTGATGTAAGGCATTTTTCAGTGGTCTAGCTGTGTCAAAGACAATACAGCAAAATCTATTTGAGTCTAATCCTTTGTTTGCTTCCACCTAATGGACAGGATCTTGCCTAATAAAAGCTATCTAATATAACCTATTAGATACAGTATATCCTGAGAAATTCTAGCATGTGGCTACTCTGAACTTCTCCCTACCCCAACCCCATCCAGCTCAGGACTGTGCAGACTCTTAACTGGGCCTCTCTCCGGGAAAGCTCTGAGTTGCCAAAAGTCCTATCCACTAATACTCCAGGTGTATATTCCACCACATCTGGAAAGTGCCCAAAACGCGAGTGAGCAAGGCCTCCCTGGTGGCATGTACCACATTTGAGGAAGAGCGTAGCAAGGTAACTTTGTCCTTGAGTGGGATATTGTTGGGCCCTGAGTTCCGAAAGATGCCTATTGTGTTTCCTCAAAAATAAGATCTATCCCGAAAATAAGCCCTAGCTTGATTTTTACCGTGCACCCAATTTAAGTCCTACCCCCAAAATAAGCCCTAGGTAAGACCCCACCCACTGTTGCACCTGGTTGCACGAGGTAGGGCGCGGTGCATGGTAAAAATCAAGCTAGGCTGAGGATGGGGTATGTGTGTGTGGAGCTGCTTACCTTTGGACAGTTGCAGTCAGGCCTCACACATCCCAACACCTGCCTGACCTTGCCGACCCACTTCTGCCGCCGCTTGCTGCCACTTACGTGTGTCATCTCCACTTTCCGTTTTGCTGCCAGAGGCCTCCAGGAAAGGCCTCTGCAGCCAAGAAATGAGCTCCAGATTGACGCACACGGTTTTCCTGAAGCTCTCTGACAGGGAAATAAGGCCAGGTGGCGCTGCGTGCGACAATCCAGAGCTCATTTCTCAGCTGCAGAGGCCTTTTTTGAAGGCCTCTCATGGTGAAAGGGAAGATGGGGACGCCGCATGTGAGTGGCAGCAAGCGGCTGCAGAAGAAGTGGGTTGGCAGCAGCCACATGGGCTCCTGATGGGCAGGGCTGTTGGTGCCACTGCTGTGAGGTGAGACAGTGGAAGACATCCCCCCAAAATTGCCTCTTTTGGAGGCAAAAAAAAATTAAGATTGGGTTTTATTTTCTGGGAAACACGGTAACTATATGAAATGTAAGGAATAATTTTTTTAAAGCGGTTAAATGTAGATTGGATGGCAGTAATGAAGCTCATTTATCTGGAATGGGGAATTCCAATTTCCAATCAATTAAAAGAGGTTTGGGGAGAATAGACAACAAGAATAAGGAGAGAACGAACAGGAGAAACCACAGTTAAAATTTATTGCAGCTCCAAGAAACTGAAAGTTATGAATTCTAGCTCTGAAGTCATCACTTCTGGAAGAACTAGAAATAACAAATGATCTTTCCACTATTAAAGCTCTGACGACATCAGCCTAATAATTTCTTTCTTATTTCTTCTTAGAATCCTAGGGAATGGACTAAAAAGGTAATTAAGAACATTGCATGCTCTGGCAAGTTTTCCAGTGACAGGACAATTACTGAATATGCCAGAGAGATCTGGGGAGTGGAACCTTCTGCTGTGAAAATTCCTCCTCCAAACATACCTAGGGAGTAAATCTGCCATTAGAAGGTGCATGAAATTACCCTGATGGACTTCCTGCTGCTGCTGCTGCTGCTGCTGCTGCTAAGACATACCTGCTTCCCTGTGACGTTTCTGCAGATGAATTCAATCATGTATTTTATCACACTTTGGCTTGTTTCATCTTTATAAACATATAGCTGAAATGAGAGCAGCTGGTGTTTCAGATAGTAAGAAATAGTTGACCAAAACTTATAGGTTGTAATAGGATTTTAAAAATCCAGTAGACCAATGTGGTTTATATGAATCCATGCATTATATGCTGAGGGGCTCCTCAAGCCCCCAAACTTGTTAAATCCTATGGCAGTTCCCAAGTGATCAGTCAGAAGGTGCCTACAAAGTCCAGGATTAAATGGAAAATGTGATTCCACAGGGATAATAAGTGTTGCCTTCTGGAATGGAAGCTAGACTGGAACCTTTCTATAACCAAGGAGAATGCTTTTTCCATATAACTCATCTTGAAGTCACTTCTCTGTCTTAATTGCAGTGGTATCTGCAGCAAACTGAGGTTGCATCAAAATGACACATAGCTGAGGCATCGTGACACAAACATTGCTCTTAGTTACTTGTATTCTGTTGACTAACACAAATGTTCAGTTGTGGATTTAGCATTCTGACACACATTTTATTCCTTGTCCCTCTTCCCCTCCTCTCCACACGTATGCTCATTAGGAGAACTATTGCTGATCTCCCAGTCAGTTCTTTTTAATCCAGAATCATTTTAAGTGACCAGTTATCACAAACTGAAAAATCAGGATACTTTTTCCTGTAGGGACATGGAGTTCAAAGTGGGTTAAAGGCACCAAAGAACCTGCTTGTTTTCCTCTAAAATGAGAATTCCAGAACAACCTGTGATTCATAAAGTTAGCATCCAGTCTGGTGCCCTCAAGAAGCATTGGGACTGCCCAGTCAGCCAAATTAAGTCAAATTATGGGCCATATTTTGTGATCTGCTGGATTCTGGATAATTTTCAGAGCAAGTGGCAGTAAATAAAAAATTAAGACATTTGCTTAGCCTCATGGTAGATTGCTAAGCTTTGCTTTAGGAAATAGACTTTTATGTTTCAAATTGTGCAGTTATATGGATTATTTAAAACAATCTTATATAAAGAGCAGACACTAAAATACTGTCACTTCTCATACTGAAACCACTCCATCCAGAGTTTTTCTTGAGTCAGTGTTGTCTCTAGAGGTCACATTTTTAGTATTTTAAAAGTATATTGGGAAACCCCATGAATTTTAATTTCAGGCAATAACATCATGATTTTGGGATCTATCAGGTCTTCTAGCCTGGATTGGGACACGGTGGCTCAGTGGCTAAGACGCTGAGCTTGTCGATCGAAAGGTCGGCAGTTCAGCGGTTCGAATCCCTAGTGCCGAGTCATGGGGTGAGCTCCCGTTACTTGTCCCAGCTTCTGCCAACCTAGCAGTTCGAAAGCATGAAAAAAATGCAAGTAGAAAAATAGGGACCACCTTTGGTGGGAAGGGAACAGTGTTCCGTGCGCCTTTGGCGTTTAGTCATGTTGGCCACATGACCATGGAGACGTCTTCAGACAACGCTGGCTCTTCGGCTTTGAAACGGAGATGAGCATCGCCCCCTAGAGTCGGGAATGACTAGCACATATGTGCGAGGGGAACCTTTACCTTTAGCCTGGGATGTTAAATAAATAATTTTTCTTTTTTACAAATGCTGAGGAAATTGACTATATTTTAGAGCCCAATCTTTATTTGTAAATGGCCAGAATGGAAATGAATGTATGTCCTATAAGTTTCCAGGACCAAAACATTAAACAAACAAGCTGTTTTCCTTTTCAGACTTTTTAGTAGAGGCATTATCAATCTAATACCAGGTCAAAGAAATAATGAATATAATCTACAAATAATTCCTTCTCTAAGATGATGCCCTCCAAATATCCTGTGGTAGCAACTCCCCACTGTCAGGGAGTCATATAGGAGGAGACCAGAAACAGCTGCCTAATCTCTGCTTCTCCCTAGATTAATTTTTAGGGTTGCCCCATACGGATACAACTTCATCTATCAAATGTAGGAAATTGTGACCACAGTTTTCTGAACAGACAGCAAATAGGCATGCAATAATTAACAGGAGAAAGACTTTGTCAAAAACAGGTGACAGTTTTGTCAGAGCTGACACTGTGATCATCTGTTGAGAAGTTAGGACAGAGAGCTGAGGCAGATCAATATCAATCAATAGCAGATTTATATAACGCTTCACAAAGCGGTTTACAGAGTCAGCATATTGCCCCCAACAATCTGGGTCCTCATTTTACCAACCTCAGAAGGATGGAAGGCTGAATCAATCTTGAGTCTGGTGAGATTTGATCTGCCAAATTGCAGGCAGCGGCAGTCAGCAGAAGTAGCCTGCAGTACTGCAATTTAACCACTGTGCCACCACTAAGAGATCCTTTCCGCTATCCAGGACTAATCGATACCCATATCAATCTATTGGAATGGCATGAAACACAATAATTTCATAAATTTCAAGAGCCATAAAGAAACAAAATTTCAATGCTTGCATTATTCTAGAAAACAACAAATTGTGAAAGTAAAACTGATATTCATTTTATATCAGTCTGCTGTATTTTTGTCTAACCAAAGTGGATGAAATTAAAGTAAAATATATGGTTTTCTACTTTGTGTAGGCCATAATTCACTAAATAACTGCTAAAAGTTCAGTTCTTCCAGGTTTATGCAACATTTAAGTATATTATAGAATACATTGGTATGTTTACAGCTATAGTACCTCATTTCAGATGAACTTTGGGGTTTTATAACTTATTAACTCAAGATGTTTGTAAGTATGTTATTCGCATGTTTAGTTTTGTTTTTTTTTTAATTTGCTGTTTGTGGTATATAGCCGTACTTATACAATTGTAACTTCCAGGCTCGTCCAAACTAGAAAGATTCTTAGCACAAGCCAAGCTGTTAAACCACAATTTAAGATTTATTTACAATTGTATCTTGTTCTAAAATTACTAACCATCATTTCTTAGCTGACAAAAATTGGAATCTGTGATTAATTGGAATCTGTTTGGTCTGATTGTAGCAATAGTTGTGGAGAAATTCCTACCAATCTGGGTTTATAAACTGAGATCATACCAATTTTAGTAGTAATTATTTTCAGAATGTTAATTGTGAAGGAGTACTTGGTTTTCATAGCAATACCATCATATATCCATGTCATTCTAAATTGTGTTCTAGAATGCCCATGCATTAATGAAAGATGATTAACTAGAGATTGGCAGGAACACATGTTTGCCACCCCGATTGGCTAACTGGGGAATTCCCAAAGAGCTTGCCTAATTTACTGTTTGAAAATGCCTGTCATAGAGTATCTTAACTTTGATCATGAAAAGCCCATACCATTGTGTTGCCTCATACTAGGAAGCCTTGCTTTTTTTACCCTTGCAGATTCCTGCTTGCTAGACTCAAAGCATCTTAATTGGCACTTACAGATATTTCCTGTTTCTCAGATATAAGGCCCTCTTGTCCTTAATCATGAAGGGCAAGCATGCTCCAAATGAATAAAGTAATCATTTGGAAATCAATCAAATATTCTGATGTTTCTTGAGTGGATTATATACCCAAATAATTACAAATGCAGCACTTTATCTAAAAGCCAGCCAGGTAAAGAAAAATCAAGAAAGATCATCCAGTACATTAATCAATAGCAAGAATTCTACAAAACTATGAATTTGCTTAAATCCTTGGTTCTTGCACATTTTTCTCATGCTGACAAGAAAAAGTTCAAATCACTTGTCTTATAAAAGACATAGATATAGTAATATTTATATAGCCTTTTAGATTCTTCCTTCGATATTATCAGTTAGGGGCCTAATCTGACTTTTATAGCATTGAAAATACAGAATCAAGCAGGGCCTACTTTAAGGGATGATATTCCATCATCAGTTTACTAAAATTAAATAAATAAATAAAAATAAATAAGTAAGTAAGTACGGTAAGTATCCCAAATTCATTGTAATAGTTCTTTAGTTAGCCTGGTCCTAATCCAACCAATAAGTGATATTTATGTCCTACTAAAGATGAAAGGAATGCAGTTAACTGTAATCGGATTGAGCAATTTCTTGGCCAGTCGCAGAAAATAGGAATAAATCAGCAAAATCAGGGAACAGCTTTAAAATACTGACAATTAAGAGTTAGCTTTTAACAAACTGAAGGTTTGAATCGACAATTTCTCACTAAACACTTAAGTATATTTATATAAACTCAAAAAGTCTATCCTTTCCTCGGTAGCTGATGTAAAAAATGGTGACATCTTAATTGTTTTAAGAAATAAAATTGTGCAGTTATATAGCAGGTTCACAACTAAGAAGTAGTTGAATATGAAAGCTCTGTTGAAAAAGCATTGAAAAATTCACTGTATGTTGTCATCAGGCTGCACATGAAAGCCATCCTTAAGTGCATTTAAGACAAGGGCTAATCTCCACAACACATTGTACCTATTAGATTTATTTGGTTAGAAAATAACCATTCTACTTGCCTTCCATTGCATAGTCAATTTATTCTCACATTGAAGAAAATTGATTGGCCATTCCTGGTTTGAAGCTCATAGATGCTGGATATTGGCTGGGTACAAATCATTTTACTCTGTTTTTGACAAAGGCAGAATATATATAATGGAGGAATTCCAGGGAACACAATATTGTGTTAAAGGAATGCTGCTAAACGTTTTCTTCGATATGAATTGTTTTTAGGCTGATTACAGCTCAGTGTTCTCATGATTCATTTTAATGCCATGAAATGCTTCAAATAAGGAAACAAAGTTGATTTACTCTTTTCAGCATATACAGAATATTTTCCCCTAAATAGTGTGGACTGTGTTATTATTTAAATCTAAGTAAAGTATCACAGGTTTCTGCTGAGCAAGTCTTTATCATGTCTTGAAATTTGTGCATAAAATATTGCATGTTTGCAAGCATTCCCATCTCACTTGTATTTTGCATTACACTCTTAAGAATGTGTTGTTCTATTCCTGGTTATTTTTCTTAATGGTCTGTAAAACTATTGTGAGCAACACTGACTTCAGAGAGGCTATCTCTTCAAGCAACAGCTAGCCAGGCAGGAGGCTGAAGCAAGCAAATTAGCAAATTTACTGTGCTTGCTAAATAAATGTATGTCACAATCATGTCGTTTACAAAACTAATTTTGAGTTTGTTTTCATGTGTGTGGTGTGCTTATATGATATAGTACTGTTATTCTCCCGTGTTTTCAAAACATTAAACTTCCATGAACATTGCACTTGATTTATCTTTTTATTTTGGAATGAAATTACAAAATGGCCATATTATTAAAGTCAGTGTAAGAAGTATGATGCGATAGCTACAAAAGTGAGGTCCAAAAGCAAAGCAAAAACTCCATTATATGGCTTGGCTTGACTAAGTAACTCATGGCCTCCGTCAGTTAAGAATGGTGGGAGCTCTCTTATTTACTCAAAGTACTAGAACTGCACTGTCCATGGATGCTCTTTTAACACTTGGTCCCTTAAGTAGTTTCTTTCTAAACTTCTCTCTCTTCCCACACAAATAGCAGACATAGGAAAAGTGGTCTGCAAATGAAGGCAAATATACATGTCCCAGGATAATGTTGCAGGATCCAATCTGTGTTGGTCACCGGGATCAGAGGTTTAGTCTTCCCAGGTTTTGAATTTGTGCTGGAGCCCATCTTTGGGGAACTTCTCTCTACTACACATTCTGGTAGAGGGAAGTGCCCTGAGGATGGGCTCCAGCATGAATCCCAAAGCTTGGAAAACTCTAGTCCCAGTGACCGACCCAGATTGGATCCTGAAAAGTGGTCCATTCCAATTGGGGTGATGAGGAGTGGTTGGAACCATTTCTAATGCCACAATCCCAACTGAAGTTGGGTTCCCAACTGCCAGTCTCTAGAATATCTAATATTGTCTAGTTTGACTGAGATATAACTGTTCTGTTTTTAAATTTTGTATTTATGTGTTTTATTCTGTGGCTGTTCACCGCCCTGAGTCCTTCGGGAGTAGGGCGGTATACAAATCCAATAAATGAAATGAAATGAAAAAAGTCCAACATTTTCACCATGGATTTGTTAAATGGCCATTCTTAGGTTCAATATTCACAACAGTGGCATGGGGAGGGTATTATTCAAATGTACCCCTACAACGATTGCAAGTTAGTTTACATAGTTGAACAGATAATAACTGGAGTTTTATATTGTATGGTTAGGTATCTTACAAGTCACAGAATATTTTAAAGCTCTTATAACTATTATTCTGTGAGAATAGGATTGAACCAAGTTTGTCTAGTGAGTTTTACAAACTCAGAATCTTGGGCAACTAGGAATGAAACCTCTGATTTCTATTTATACAAACTGGATCCATACCACATATTTTAAGCCACTCATCATGAGAAAAATTAGTTTTGAGGGACAATACAATTAATTAGAAAAAGGAATATATTTGGGGTTTAAAGGTAGTGTGATGAAAACGTGAACACCAGATTTACTCCTCTAAGATACCATACATATATGAAATACAGCTAGCTTTATCCACAGATATTTTGACTAGTTTACTTGAAGTACATTTGAATTTTATATCAGCTGGCCACTCTCCTAAACCACCTGGAAGGCACTTGTCATTTTAGGATGATACTGTCTTGGGTTTAGTTGAGAAGACTCCAATTTCTTATTTTGAATTCAGGGAGAGCCTGTGTTTCAATCTCCAGAGCTGTCTTGTGAATAGATCAGTGACTGATGTTCCTTTAACAACTCAGTTTATTTTAAATTTATCACCTGTACTATTTACAATTATTTCCTATTTCTTTGAATTATATAGCCAGCCAAAGACAGTAAAAACAATAAACAAAAGTATAAATAAATAAAATAGCAGCTGAGCAACAATAAATTCAATTATTTCAGCCAAGAAACCATCAGGTGGATGGTTTCCACTCCTTTTCAGTTTTCAAATAAAAGTTGAATGCATTGAGTAAGGGGGTGAACAATAATCTTAAGTTTCCTTCCAGCTCCTACAGTATGTGTTTCCGTTCACCATCACAAGGGAAGTTCATGAGAGATTTGAGCAAATTCCCTTTTTTTTTGTCTCCTGTGCCATAGAAGCCTGAAGCAGTGGTTCTGGGTAGTGGTGCCTTTTTATAACTGGTGGAGCCAGACAAATAATTGCAAAGTAATTTTGGTAGATCCACGGAATGGCGTAAAAATAACAATGACAATAGTTCTTAAAAACTGAAACAATATATACACAACAATGTGAAGTCAGAGCTGCCTGAACTTTAGCTGGCATAGGTCTTCATATACATCACGTTCTTTCCAAGAATTTAGGATGTAGTCATGTATTGGTATGATATATATATAGATTTAAGCAGTGAGACTTTTTGTAATTGACAGATGGAAATTTATCAATGCCAGATTTCCTAAGTGCCTAACATTTTTGGTATGACATCCAGTATAGTGATAACCACTGGGACCACCATGAAAGATTATGCCATAAACTTTCAACTTTGAATATCAAATCTTGATTCATTGTGATATTTTCCAATTCTTTGTGTTCTATTTTACTATCCCTGGTATTGTCACATCAATTATTCACTTTTTCCTCTTTTCAACCAGTTAAATCTGGTGTGTATGTGTGTTATGTGCCAAGACTTTATCAGTTTGTATTCAGAAATCCAAATCCCACAACCTGCTTATTCTCACTTATTTTTCAATTTTAAGTTCCGACCAATTTTTCATTAGTGATACATAATTATTTTTTACAGATGTTCAAGTGAATCATTTTGGTGATCAGTTTGTTTGATCTATTTGCAGAGTAAATGTTCTATTGCACAGGTGACAAACTTGCCGCATCATGTTGCCGCCACATTTAACTTTTTCCCCATTCGTGGAGCTGGGGTGGGCGTGGCCTGCACGTGACACATCCAGCCCATGGGCCACTAGTTTGACACCTCTGTTCTACTGTTTCTTCTGGTTCTTTGCACAATTTGTACTGTGATAATTTTTCAATTCTGGCCTTAATTGCATTAGTGCTGAATAGCTTGCTCTTGAGTTCTTCAGTTTCTTTTTTTAATGTTCTAGTTGTAAGCCACTCCTAAGGTTTT